AGTCCTTTGTCTGCTACAAATATGTACAGCTTTCTATTACTGTGATGTACATTAAGTGAGGTTTTGGCCTCTAACCTGTTATTCACAGCACAGTTCTGTCACTCAGATAAGGAATGCTTGGGACATAAAATATTTCTACTTATCCTCCTTCCAGTGCGGAAGAGCATTTCTCACTCCATGGTACTCCAGAGCTACATAGTACATTTATCCATATGCCAAAAATGGGACAATTTGAAAAGTTTTTTCAGGATTTGGATCTTGCAGTTTATTTATTGAGTTAGTTTTGTGTGATGGATATGAGATTTATTCCAGCTCTTCCTGTGGGAAATGGGGGTGGCTGCTGTGTCTGAAGATTTTTCTGTGCAGGAGCTGAAAGCCAAATGTGAACTTTTCTATGTGTGAATTACTTCCCAGAGGAGAACATCTTTTTCAGCTATAGCTGAACATTAGAGTAATAATGGAAAATAAGCCTCCCTCCTGAAAGAAAATATCAGTAGCAGACAGTGAAGATTTTGCTGGAACAAGCCTAAAGTGAGCAATATTAAGATGGCAGCAGAGGGTTTTCTAGAGCAATTGCTTCATGTTTTCTTCCTAATGTTTTTTTTTTTCCTGTGGAGTGCACTGCAACAGCTACACATATGCATAAAACTAGGAAGTTTTGAATTAATGGATTCCTTATACCGTGTCATGTCATTTGATAACTCTCCATGAGCAGTGCTTGATAGCACAAGGAACTTATTGAGTTTGTGGCAACATCAATGCCAAAGTAGATTGTGTGGACAAAGTTATTCTGCTGGAAGTTGAGGAGCACTGCTAAAGCAGGCTTCTTCTCTCTTAGCGTCCACACAAGGTAGTGTGATGTAGTTTTGGTTCCAGCAGGCAACTAGACACCCTACTGACAGTGTGAGGGGGAGGAGAATCAGAAAAGAAAAGATAAAACTCATGGGTTGATATAATAAAAGTGATAATTGAAGCAAAGTAAAGTATAATAATACAAATGATAATAGTAAAAACAATCATAATAATGAAAAGGGGACAGAGAGAGAGAAATAAACCCCAAGAAAAGTAAATTATGCACATAAGTTGCTCACAACTCATTGTCCAGTGCCCAGCTTGTCCCCTGGCAGCAATAAATTTAATATCAATACTATTCTTAAAGCTAAACACAGTGCTGTGCCAGCTGCTGAGAAGAAAACTAACTCTAGCCCAGCCAAAATCAGGACAGATGTGTTGCTGCCCGTGGATTGAGCCTGAGAGGGAGATGGATCTGTTCAAGCCATGCTTACTAAACAAGCTGAAACTCAAGAATGGGCTTTGCTAGCATTTTCTCTCACTCACCATGATGGATATTTGTGATGCAGTGTCCTCTGGAAAATTCAAATAGAACATGGCAATTGTGACCAAATGGCTCCATGGCCATTCTCCACCAGGATAAACATACTAGTTGCAAGGGCTTCCTGTGGTTTAGGGCTGAGGAAAGAGGGGGCAGGTTCCTCATCTAGCCCAGTAGGTTGGGAAAGATACCCACAATTTTACTCTGAGTCGTGTGTGAAATAAAATTCTTGGCAATGAAATCTTGACTACTGAAAACTCAAAAGAAAAAACAGCTAAAATACTAAAATAAACTGTCTATTTCAGATGGATTTGTTTTGCATGAGAGTTTCAAATTCCCCTATGATAAAGAAAAAACAAACCCAAACCAAACTTCTCTTGAATGGTCTAGTCCCAGGATGTGTATTTCCATCTGTTCTTTGAGCTGCCAGAGGAGGATTTCTTTTGAAACTGCGGTTTTTCTCTTCATCTGCCCTCCTGACAGATCCCAATCCCTGCCTGCTGTTCTGTGATGAATGTGTTTTGACAAATCCTTTCCAGTGACCAAAAAAGGTGTCTACTCTTTGTCAGGAATCCTACTGTGCTACAAGGATAGGGGGATGTTTCTTCCTGCTTTTTTTCCTGATGACAATATTCTTCCTATATTCTCTTATTTTACAATGTCTTCTAATCTTTTTAGTTGTGATCAAACATGATTATTAGACTAATTTCCTTCTAGATAACCTTACTGAAATAAATTTTTCAGTTTAATTATATGTAGTCTCAAAGATTTCTCAGGGTAAAATTCAAGCCAGCATGTGTGTTATCAATACCATTGATTTTATTTAATATGCAGGATGGATGATTTAATTTCTTGAGGGTATTGTTTGGCTTATGTCAGTGTGTTCCTCTCCTACATAAGGCAGGGTGACAAAAGGCTAAATCAGAAGCAGATAAACTGCAATGCTGGAAATTCATAGCTTAGTCATAAGACCATAAGACCATAAGACCATATTATAACTCATACCCTGAAGGAGCCCACACTGAAATTCCAGGGACAGTCTTAGGTCAAATATTTCCTGGCCCTTGGATGTTTGATTTGCTAAACTCAAGTTTCTTTAACTTCTTTTAGTGTTTTCAATCCTGACAGGGTTTTTTAAGGGGATGCAATATTCCAAGTCCCATCCTGAGATATCTACTTCTTCTTCCCTTTTTTACAATTTGCTCTGACCTCCTTGCCATCAGGTCCCAACTCTGTCCCAGTTAATTCCCTTTCACATGCACACTGTTGTCCCCTGGTCCAGCCAGTCTCTGTCTCCTCCTACCTCAATGTTTTCGTTTGGTCACTGTGACCTCCCTGCTCTTTCCGCCTGAAGTCCATCATTAATAGTCTACATCATCATCCTCCTCTATGGGATGCAGGGCACACTACTTCACCATTCTCTTCACCATGGGCTGGAAGGGAATCTCTGCTTGGAGACAGTCCTCTTCAAACTTCTCCAGTGTTGGTCCCTCTCAAGGGCTGCAGTTTTTCACAAACTGCTCCAGAGTGGGTTCCCCAGGAGGTCACAGGTTGTGCCATAAAACCCACTCCAGCAGAAGCTTCTTGCAGGGTCATGCCACCTTCTCCTCAGGCATCCACCTGCTCCAGCCCCGCGTCCTCCAAGGGCTGCAGTGAATCTCTGCTCCATCATGGGCTCATCCACATCCCTTCAGCTCCAGGTCACACTGGTCCCAGCCTGTCCAGTACAGCAGCACAGAAACAGCAGCAATGCCCTGGCCAGCAGCCACCCTGCCTGTCACCAGAGCCTTCCTGGGCACAGTTCAGTGAGTCAGTGCAGTGCAGCACCCCAGCAAAAAGTGGCCACTAACGAGAACCAGACCCTAACACACAGTCAGAAAAGTATACATTTACAGGCATTCATGCTGGAGAGTTAATCCATTGATTTGCACGACTCTGTAAAGTGGTTTAAAGCAGTATTTAAATTACAGATGTTTTTCCTGACATTTGAGCATATGTAAAAGAAGCCCTGCTTTCATGAAAGCCCTAGGCACTTTCTCATGGATGGAAACAGGAGGTTTTCCATTAAATCCAGATTTCATACTAATTTTCAATCTATTATGTCATAGCCCAAATATGCCACCACACTCAAGAACTGTTTTTTTCCCTTTATTTATACATTGAATAACATGGACAAGTGCTAGTCAGATGAGACAAGATATTTTGCCCTTTAAAGGTCCTCATCTGTAGTGAGAAAATGGAACTTCTTTTTCTACACCTTTTTCATTATTTAAGACTTCCCTTCCCTTCCCTTCCCTTCCCTTCCCTTCCCTTCCCTTCCCTTCCCTTCCCTTCCCTTCCCTTCCCTTCCCTTCCCTTCCCTTCCCTTCCCTTCCCTTCCCTTCCCTTCCCTTCCCTTCCCTTCCCTTCCCTTCCCTTCCCTTCCCTTCCCTTCCCTTCCCTTCCCTTCCCTTCCCTTCCCTTCCCTTCCCTTCCCTTCCCTTCCCTTCCCTTCCCTTCCCTTCCCTTCCCTTCCCTTCCCTTCCCTTCCCTTCCCTTCCCTTCCCTTCCCTTCCCTTCCCTTCCCTTCCTTCCCTTCCCTTCCCTTCCCTTCCCTTCCCTTCCCTTCCCTTCCCTTCCCTTCCCTTCCCTTCCCTTCCCTTCCCTTCCCTTCCCTTCCCTTCCCTTCCCTTCCCTTCCCTTCCCTTCCCTTCCCTTCCCTTCCCTTCCCTTCCCTTCCCTTCCCTTCCCTTCCCCTCCCTTCCCTTCCCTTCCCTTCCCTTCCCTTCCCTTCCCTTCCCTTCCCTTCCCTTCCCTTCCCTTCCCTTCCCTTCCCTTCCCTTCCCTTCCCTTCCTTTTTTTTCCAGAACATATTTCTGCTTCGAAGTTTTTTGCACTAAAGATTCAGCTGGGGATGTATTAAATACATGCAGTGTTCTACAGTTTACAATAGATGGGAATTAGGAATTTGATTTCAGATGAGTCAGGGGACTTCACATGCTGTTGTTATTACTGGTGTTTAAGCCTCATATTTATTTAAAAACATCTGTCACAGAAGCAGTGGAAGTAGTAAACCTATGACAGATTCTTCCTCCCTGATCCCTTAATCCACCCTTAATCCTTAAACCATCATTGCAGGAAGATAAGCCTTTTCAAAAGGCTTCCACTGCTCAGATTCAAAAAGTTTGAAAGAACCATTAAAAATTAACACTAATCTTATTGCAATGGAGTTAAATAGATAGATTTGTATAATCAAATAAGAGATTAATTATGTATTCAAAATGGAAACACTAAGAAGAACTGCAGAAAATGCAGTGCTGTTGCAGTGAGTAGCTGTAAATACTGAACTGAACAGACTTTACAGTGAGGAGTTAAATAAATTGTTATACAAATGATGGGTCTGGATGCTCCCTTCTGCACCAGCACCTCTGGCTGAACAGGCTGCACTATCTTCTTCCATGTCTGTACATACACATAATTTGAGAGTTATAGAAATAGATCTCAGTTGCTTTACATTTACTCTGCCACTGATGCTGTGATGGAAAAGTTTTTTTTTTTACTACGAGACGCTGTGTTCTGGTAGCAACAAGATTTTTAATCATAGAACTATATATTTGCTCTTCCCCAGAGGAATAGGGAGACAAAATATAAAAATAAATATAAGAAAGAACAAGACTATGAAGCAAAATAAGATGTTACGCAGTTTATTAATTTTGACTCATAAACATATAAATATGTACCTAAGGATTTGCCTCAAAATAATACAGTATCAATGGCCATAATAGATATAGTCACATATAAAAAATAAAAAGAAACTTTACACTACTTTATGAGAAATTTTGTAATACTTTCCTGGATCAGCAAAAGTCAGGTTTTAAGGAGGCTACCGCGTTACCTTGCTTTTTTTACAATTTATGTACACTCATTGTGTTACATCCTCTTGTAAAATAGTTATGCACTGCATATAATTAAAGTCCACAAAAACAATTAAAATTCTCTATATCTTACTGTGAAAATACAAATCGGGGGAAAATATTGTTCAATATAACCAAAGTTAACCCATACCTGCTTAAATGCACTTATCACCCAAAGATTAAGCTCATATTTGCTCCGTAATACCTGTTGTAATTTTATGAATAGTGTTATAGGTGGTATAGCAGCTGTCATCACAGATGCAATGCAACAAATTATTTACCTCCATTATGGCTTTCTGCAAAGAAACCAGATTTCTGGTATTTTGTAAAAAAAAATTTTCTTTTAAGCCACTGTTAATACGTATGACAGGTTAGATCATTTGGTAAAAAATTCTGGTATCACACATGCATTTGGATGGATAACACCGAAATAGAAAAGCAAGTCTGAGGAAAAAATAAGCAATCAATCATGTAATTTACTTTAATAGATAATTAGCTTTGTCTGTGAAGGCCAGATCAGAGTGTTTCATATTAATTTTTAATGCTATTTGCAGTGTCATAAAATAAGTTATAATATCAAAATAAAGAAGAACTGAGAACCATTATGTTAAACTACTCTTGACAGGAAACATGCTGAAATTTGAAGACATCTCTTTGAAAGATACCCCTCTCAAAGGAAATCCACAGGGAATAAACTGTGAAAAAACTTCTAAAGCCTTTTGCCTGAAGTATTTCCCAACAAAGACATAAATCACGGGGTTAATGCAGCTGTTGGTGATAGCCAGCATATAAGCAAACTGCTCCCCAAAGTTAATCAGTTCCCCCCAGAAGCAGCCTTTGATCACTTCTGTATGGTATAATGTATCAAGGAATACAAAAAAATGGTGAGGAGTCCAGCAGAAAAGGAACATCAGTACCACGGTGAGGATCAGCCTGGTTGCCTTTGTGCCTTTGTGCCTCTTGCAGCCCTTTGCTCTGAGCGCTCTTCGCTCCTTTGCTGTTTTTTGTAGGGACCTAATGGTGGAGAAATTGAGGAAGATGATTGCAGTGGATGGCAACAGAAACCCCACCACGTTGCCTACCAGGCTTTCAGCAATTTCCCATGATGGGCTGGGGAAGTCCAAAGTGCACGCTGAGATATTCCACTGGGGAAAGTCTTTCACAGTCCGGAACATGAAAGCTGGGATGCTGAGAAGGATGCAAAAGAACCAGATGAGCAAACAGATCCTTTTGGTCATAGTTTTGCTCCATATCTCTCGGTGGTTCAAGGTATGGACGAAGGTCAAGTAGCGATCCACGCTGACGGCCACGAGCAAGTAGATGCTGGTGTACATGTTCAAGGTGATGGAGGCGCTGATGCTGCGGCACAGGAAACTGCCAAACGGCCAGTTAAACTCATTTTTGACATTCTCTGCCCAGAAAGGGAGGCACATGAGGAAGATGAGGTCAGCAACAGCAAGGTTCATAAGGTAGATTTCAGCTATCTTCAGGGGGCCCTTGTGCAGTGAATAAATTAAGAGAACAAACACATTTCCAAGCATACCAATAACACAGACAGTGTTGATGTACTTGGGTCCTATATAGTACACGATGTCCCACCAGTCATCCAAGTCTGGGCACACCGTTGAGTTGGTCTGATTTTCACTCTGGTTTGAGTAGGGAATATTCAGTAGAGGAGTTTCAGTCATTTTTAAAAATATTTGGAAGTGAACCGGAGATGTCTTCAAAATGAGACAAAATAACTGCAAAAAAGAAGCATAAAAGAGCAAAAAGTGCCTCCTATGAGTGGTGTAACAAACATTTAACTGCTGCAAATTCATTATTAGTCCTTACTGATTATTATGGGTTAGATCAATCCATTCTTGATATGTGCAGCGGTGGGAAACATTCCCAGTATTAGCAAGGATAGAACTTCCTCTACATCCCATGAAGTTTCCCCTCCTTGCTTCCATTGTTTAAAGTGTCACAGAGGAAGGGAAGTGACAAATTAGTGTAAATAGTTCTGTACGTCTCCTCCAGATTGAGGACAGATACAGATATGGGAGAATTCCATCTCCCTGAGAGTAGTGGGAGTCATGCTGGCGACACAAAACCAGCTTTGCATCCTTCCCTGCCTTTTCTCTTACTCTTATTTACCATACTATGTATATAAATGTGTTACACTATTATATACTATATTATATATACTTCAATATACTATTATATTATTATATTCTGTTATCCTGCTGAAGCCTGTTTCCCTGAATTGGGAGAGCTGCTAACTCTCTGTTATGTATGTGCCACTTGCTGCCTGAACTTTACATTCTTTTGTACCTTCTCAGTTCCTCCCACACTGAACTTTGGGTTCAAAATTGCTATTAGATTAGACATCTCATTGCCTTCAAATGTCAGTGGTTGGAATAACAAACACAGACTTCTCCAAAATATTACACTAAAAAGCATGCCTGGAGGAAGGTCTTCTGCAGCTCTAAATTTACAGCTCTTTTCTCCAGTTCAAAAATTTCATTTGAGTTTGGCTGTCCCAGGCACCAAAGTGTTTAGTTCATCATAGCATCAGCAATACCTTTATTCCTTTCTGGTAGCTCCATGTGAGATTGTGCAGGAGTAAGAACACAGGTAAAACCTTATGAAAATCCACTGGACTTTCTGTCAGAGATCCACTGTCAGAGCTGCCTCCTGCTTCATTCTTCTGGTGCTGTCATGCTTGATGATAGTGCCTAGATCCAGGTTTTTACAGGCATTTGGTCTCAGAACTTTGTGGTAGGCAAGTTATTATTGAGCCTGTTCTGCCCTCTGACATTTCAGTCTTCATATGCAAGTGGAGCATGTCAATCGCAGAAAGGAATGTATTCGAAAAAATTAATATTTTGCAATCAGTCATTCTAAGTGCTGACTTTCTGCTGTAACTATTTAACTCTGCTCTTTCAGCTTCTGTATTTTACACCTAGGAGACCCCTAATGATGGAATTTCTGAAGAGAAAATTTAGGACCATCATTCATCTCTTTTAGATATATGTAAACCTCAGTGATTTCTGTATATGAGCACCTTGCAGTACTTATTTTGGGATGCCTCTAGGAATAAGTTAAGTATTAATATTCCACATCAGGCTATCTGGAACTAAGGCACAGAACATTTTTCATCGCTGCAGAATTAGGTGAGCAGCAAAGTTGTGTCTGAGTTCATAAACTCACTCAAGCTGGCAGCCTTGACAGGGAACTGAGCTACAACTCAAGTTAGCACAGCTCCCTGGATCTCCCTCACAACAGACAATGTGTTGTCTGTAGATCACAGAACTCTCACGCAAGTGAAGATAACTTGGGAGGGTCTAAAACTACATCTAAAATGCATACAGCAAATAAATGGCTAATTAGCATTAAAGCGGCTCTTTGTGAGACAGCAGAAATCTAATGCTGTTGGAGCAGGAGGCTGGCTGAGGCATGAGAGAGCAATGGCAGAAAATCTGTAACTTTATATTTCAAAAATAATGTAGAAGAAAGATAGCAGTTAAACCTAAACAGAATTATTTATTTTATTAGATATAGGATAAAAAATAAATGCTTATTGTCCTTGCTTACCCTTTTCCTGATGACTTCTTGCTGTCAGCTTATGCCAGCCACTCTGCACACTTCAGACATGATCTCTCAGCTGGAGCCACAAAGTTTTATTTTTCATTGCAACTTAGATTTTATTCACAGCTAAATCCAAATTCTTGTTCAGCTAGTAAGAGTAACTGAGGATTCTGTAGAGTTTTTAATTGCAAAAATTTCTCCAGAGTCTACTAATCAAAGTCTGAGCACTACCACAAGCCTTTTATAAATTTAGAGTTCCAAATGTTCTCTTGATAGAAAATGCACTTTATTTTATGTAATTTCTGTAAGCATTTTGGAGTAGTTAGTGCTAATGGAAAATTAGACTCATTAATAGTTTTCAATTTCTGTCCTTAACATATTCCGGTCATCTTTTATATAAATAATGACGTATTTTTTTTTTACTTTGATCTGATTTTTGATGAATTTCCATGCACAATGCATCTATCACCCTTTTTACTACTAATACTCATTAGCCAGTTAGAGCAATTAGGTAAAATGGATAATGGCTTTACACATAAACTAATACTGAACTTCAGAATTACTTTTGTGGTGAAAAAGAAAGGGAAAATCTTAACTAGACTGCACAGATCAGAACTGAGAGCAAGAAAGATTATTTTTTAAGATAAAATATAGAAAATTTTTAATAAAGATAATAAATTCAAAAAGAGAGGCATACCTACTCTTTGTCCTTCCTGGCAATCCAGGCAATGTTTCAAATTCGGAAACAGTTGATAAACAGCAGTACAGAGGTTACTGAGAGAATTCAAAGATGCATCCTGAGGCACAACTGAGTGACTGAGGGCTGTCCTGAGTGTTTTGCTGGCTGTACACCATGTGTATGATGTTACATTTTGGAAGAAAGCCCCAGGATTTTTTTTTTCCAACTTTCCCAGACGTCAGCTGAAGTAATTTTCAAGAGATGTGAAATATTTCATTGTCATTGTGAAATAAGACATGCCATGTGTTGTGACTCTTCTCATGCTTTGACCGCTAATTAAAGCTCTCAAATTGTCCTTGGCAATTAAAAATTCCATTGTGTGAATGTCTGTAAAAATAAGAACTTAATTAACAGCTCCGAAATACCTTCTCTGTACCAATGCACACAGGGAGAAATTAGAATTAGGCTTTTGTTGTGTTGGGAGTTCCTTTCCCTTCTAGACATGAGGGGAGCCATGCCAAGGAGCTGGGGGTAAAGCAGACAGGTAGGTGGGAATGGCTGCTGAAACATGAACCTTGCTGAACTTCACTTTACTCTTTTTGAAAAGCACTGGTTTTTACACCTCCCTGTAGGTGTCCAGGGCATGAATCTCTGTGAATATTACTTCTCAGTAATATTCGTAATGACTGCTGTGTTTTGTCAGGCTTGTACCCAAATAAGCTTCTTCTTTTTCTGATTACTTTCTGGGATCAAGTAGCCGGAGAGTGGTGGTTTATAAATTATTATATTTTTCATTCTGATTGTCCACCGATAAGAGCAATATTTTAAAAAGATAATATCTTTTATCTCAGACTTTACATGCAAATCTGTCTTAAGCATAGCCATGTAAACAATGTAGTTTTCAATTAGAATAAAAAAGCAACAAATGAGAAATTATCAAGGGACTGGAATGCTATTTACATATAGGAAAATATTATTCTCATTGACTACTTAACCAACACATGCACCATATATCTCAATTTTTATTCAGTTATGTCTATTTTTGTTTGATAAGTAAGTTAAAATGAAAAGGCAGGGGAGGCTGAATGGTGATACCTTATTATGAACTTCCCTATCATGAAAAATTCTTTTATTCCAAATTTTTATTAATTAAAGAATAGTGAGATAGTTATGTGAACAGTGCTAAAATTGATAAACTAAAAATGAAAAATGTTCCAGTTAAACCATCACAATGGAGAAAACTCTAAATGGCTTGAGATTTAATGTTGGTTTTGTTTTTTTTTTAATATCTTGTAAAATTTTAATCTTGGCAAAGACTTGAAACACAACATGCAATTTGTGATTTACATATTATGTAAGGAATCCTAACAAATTACAGAAGGAAAATCTTGAAACAACCCATCTCACACTGACTCATAAAGGTAAGTGCAATATGACACGAGATCTTCGTCACAGACTTTCCAAAGTCTCCACTTTGCTTACACTACTGCATTCCCATGTTTAAGTTATTTTTTCCATAATGAAGAACATTTGAGTAATAACAAGAAGTTTAGAATTTGTCTTTGCTTGGACATGAATCTCCAGGATCTGCCAAGTTCCACATTTACTCACAGACTGAATAAAAAACTGCAGCTGCGTCTAAATTTTATATGATAAATAACAAGTCTTATAAAACTTGTCACATCAAAATGAGTGGTTTTGCAAATCCTCATGTTTGCAAATCTCGTCTCTTATTTTCTGTTGTTTTTGATTGCTATATTTGGAACATTTTTCAGTAATGGAGAGAGATTCAAAATTGGAAGTGTATGCATTTAGTAGAAAAAGTGAATAGGCACTGGAGTAGCTCCAGCATTTAAAGATCTTAGAACAAGTCTACAGAAGAAGCTGTAACTTTATATAGAAATAGAGTTTAATTTATTGTGTCTTTACAACCTAATTCCTCATTTCAACCTATAGAAATTATATAAAGGTCTGGTAACATTTCAGAGTTTGCACAGAGGTAATGGACCCTGAATGAAGGAATTTAAAGGATTAGTTAAAAAATATCTGTAGGAGTCAATAGTTAAGGGTTTTTTACTATAAAAAGCACATCTGTCTATTGGCACCTTCAGCTCAGGATACTCACAGCATGTTGCTTTATATTTTAGTCTAGAATGATCTTCAGTCACACCATCTAGGCAGATTTCCTGCAGAAAGTAAACATTTTTAGAGCTGTGTAAGAACTTACAAATACTAACTGAGCCTCTCTGATCTGATCTGAATGATTAAACAAAAATGTTGAACTTAGAGGTAAGAATCTTTGCTTAATTATCACACACATTACAAGGTAGAAAATGCCAAAAATCCCAAAGGTGTGCAGAGTTCTGGCTTCTGGTCCAACAGTTCAGCCATTAAAAATCTTCCTTTTAAGATGGTTGGAGCCTTTATTGATTGGGACAAAAAATCTTTTTGGATCAGTATGTTTTAATGATTTCATTTTCTTTATTGAAATGTTTGACAAATCAGCCTAATTATCTGCTATATCTGTTCATCAGTTCTGTAACAGCAGAGAATGTTTTTGATATGACGTTTTGAGGTAAAACTCTTTGTTCAGCTTTGTTGGATTTCTTCATATAAACTATAGAGATTGCTAAGGAGAGCTTAAACTCTGGTGCAGTTATTTACAATTCCCGAAAAATGATGCTAGAACCACCACAGGTGGTAATAATCAAGCCCTAGTAACTACAGTTTACAGAGCTTGAAACAGCAAAATATGGAGGAACAAATCTAGGTTGAATGGAATGGAAAAATGATTCAATGGCTAAAGACTGCTTAGGGATTTGGGAGACCTGAACCAAGATCCCAACTCCTCTACTGAAATCCTGTCTAAAAAACAGCAACTTTCTCCTGTTTGCAGTGAGCACCCGCAGCTTGTGTAACAGCTCTTAAAATCTTAATTTTTCAAGTGAAGACAATAATCCATGTGAAAAATGAGAGAGTGGAGAGATGAGAATAATTCCTGACTGTAAATACAGAAGGCCAGGAATACCATCTGGCTGTTGATATCCTTGCCATTCCTCTGGCCATGCTCCCCACCTCTGCCAGACTGAATGGGGAGTCAGCTCTTTGCATGGCCAAAGTCTTGAGAACAGTTGTGGCAGCCTCAGTGAAAGAGAAGATGGGAGCAGAGGTAAGAGGGGCAAAGAGAATAAAGAAGGATAAAGAAGCAATAAAGGATAAAGAAGAATAAACAGATATGATTACTCTTTGCCATCTTCAGCTCTGAAATTATCAGGACAAAGACTGACTTCATTTTACCAAAAATCCTTCTCATATTTTGTCATGTTTATGTAAGAACAGAACTGAGCCAAGTGTGACTGGAAACCGTCAGTAGGTCAGATGTAGCTTGGATGTTACACTTTCTTTCTTGGGGTTTTTTATTGCGTGTGTAATAGTGCATGTGAATACCACAAATGTGTCATCACACTGAAGAGTCAGTAAAATGGGAATTAAATATTTTGTGAGCTGATACTGTCTGTTCTGTGATGTGCAGAAGCTGCTGCAGGGGCTTTCCATTGTTGCTGATGTCTGCAAAGGACATTGATCTATCAGCAGGTAGAGAAAAGCTACCAGAAATATTTCAGTACCCTTATCTGCCTTAATTCTGATTTAAACTTCCAAAGGGACCAAGGGTGGTCAACAGCACTCAGAAATGGGCCCTGAAAAGAAAGATTTCAAAGTAGCTAAAATTCTGTTGTTTCAGCTCACTTTCCCTTGGTGTACCTGGAAGCCAAGTAAGCATCTGGAACAGCTGAGCTCCTGACAAATCATTCCTAAGTAACAGGATACAGGCTAGAGAAGAAAGTGCCAGGAAATCTCATTTCACAAAGTACTTTATTTTCTTTTGTACATGCTTACTGCATAGCAAAAAAATTGTGCCCATATATTTACATTATTTAAATTAATGTTATATTAACAATTTTATATTTTACTTCTCAGTACCAAATACTCAAAAAGAACTTCTGTTGTCTCAATAACCTCTGTATGGATTTCCTTTTGTGTAAGGGTTGCATGAACAGCATGCTCATGGATGAGATAGTATGATAACACTGGATATAACAGAAAGCCTTGCAGTGTTTCATCATAGTTGTCCCCATTGCTTCAGAAAATAAAAAGGATGAGCAATAGAAGTATTTAGGATTATACTGGCTTATCAAAAAAAAAACCCATGGAAATTTCCTATAAATCATATACAGTGATCTAAATCACTTAGTCTTTAGATCACATCTGCACACTTATATTTTGTGGTTTAGTTATTTGAAGGTTTAATACAAATTTTCCATCTTAAATGAATTTTATTGCTCCATTCAAGCTCTGACAGATAAAGACCATGTAGTTGCCATCTGAGTTTACTCATGTCACCAAACTTCATTTCCCTTGGTAGCTTTAGAAGCTGTAACCTTAAGTGCTTTGAAAAGAATAAAGACTGTTAGTTTCAACATATCTTAGATCATCTTCCACTCAGTTTTAATCAAGGTTCCTAGAGGTTAAAGTGCATACAGACAATTCAGTACACGATGAGTTTCTTTATGTGTATAATCAACTTAGCTCAAAAATACAGTCCAACTGGGGAAAAGCTATCTTGTATTAAAATCTCACAGATTAACTCTACAAATAAAATATAGGTATTATTAGAATCTGAAAAAGCCATTCTTGAATACTCTGAGCTTTCAAGACTCCTGTTATCTTCAGTTAGATTTCCAATGTAGTTAGGTGATGCTCTCCTTCGTATCCTCAGTTTCTTCTGTTTGTGAGATTATACCAGTTGTGCTGAGATTTTATATATCCATTGAATAACATTAATTATGCTTTGTGAATACTAAAAACCCGAGTCTCTGAGCTGAAGTGTAAGCATGAATATAAATAGCATTTGCTCGCTCAAAAGGAGTAAGTGAATGCTTTCACTCCAAGGTAGAAGGGGTAATGAATCTTCTACAAAGGAAACTCAGCTAACTTCATGCAGGTGGGTGGAGGCTCCCTTCCACTACTGCTTTACCTTTTTTTCAGCTACTTTTCATACGTATTTGCTCATGTAAATCTGTAACTAACTGGAGCAGTTGCAAAAAGGCACTGCTTGTCAATGAAAAAATCAGATTGTTTCAGATGACTGAAGAGAGAAATTAAAAGCCCAAAAGATGGACACATCTAAAAATGCATCCTACAGGATTTACTTAACAGAGTTTACTCAAATACAAGCCCCTCCCAAATCAAAAACCTTATCTAACACACTATTATGGGTACCATACGTAGCTTCACAATCTTGACAATCGCTTCTGTACTGTGGCTCTGTTTGGAGAATTGTATGTATACCTTAGAAAAACATTCCAAGTGATATGCACCAAGTATCATTCAGCCATGAAAATGTAAGTAAGCTACAAAATAGGATTCAATCATGAAAAACATCCAATAACATTAGAAGGTCTTTTTATGGAATTTCCATTAAGATCAAACCACTCTTTTCCCTCACGTAATGAACACTACCACATTTACTCTGTGGACCCATAGCAGATGGATATGAGTAGAGACTGATAATGTTAGAAGGCTTTCTTTCTTTAAGGATTTCCCTAAAATTATGCTATTGGGGTAATGACAAAACAGACTTTTTCCTTGAGTATTCACTTGAAATGGAAGTTCTTAAAGTGTCCAGGGAGTTGTCTATCTGCACAGACTGTAATTTTCTGCACCTCTTTGTGAACAAGTCCTTGTAGAATTCCACAGCCTTCTTCTGGAAGTTTTTCCCAACAATCACGTAGAGGACTGGGTTCAGGCAGCTGTTGCTAAAGGAGCAGTATGTGGCTATCTGGGTCATTATGTCATTGATGTCTTCCAGGCATTTGAGAGTGGGTGAGAAGTAACGGATTGTGTCGATGACTGTGGTGATCTGGAATGGAAGCCAGCAAATGATGAACAGCAGGAGCACAGCAAAGATCAGCATGGTGGCTCTCCTCTCTGTCTGGACTACCTGCATTTTTCGTAGCTCATTGCTTCGTAAGGCTTTGATGATTTGCACAGTGCAATAGGTAATTACACAGAATGGGATCACAAACCCCACAATATTGAGCAAGCAGTTGTTTGTGGGCTCCCAGTAGCTAGCTGGGTAAAGGAGAACACAGGCTGTGATGTTGTACTCTTCAAAATAGCGCAAATTTCGAAACACCATTGTAGGTGAACACATGAGCAGTGCACATGTCCAAATCACAAAACAATTCCATTTGGCAAAGACAGTTCGTCTCATCCGCCCAAGAGACATGGTTTTCACCAAGGCCAGGTAGCGATCAATGCTCACTAGTGTCAGGAAATAAATGCTAGAATATAAGTTCATGTAACTCATAATGTTGATGGCTTTACAGAGAAACTGGCCAAAAGGCCAATGAAAATTATTAGAAATATTAATGGCCCAGAAAGGTAAAGTACAGACCAACATTAGGTCAGCAAATGCCATGTTTGCTAGGTAAATTTCAGCCACTGTGCAGCTACTCTTGTGGAAACACAGGACGGTGAGCACAAAGGAATTTTCTATTGATCCCAGAATAAATATAAACCAGAGAAATACAGGCTGAAAATCCTGTAGCCATTTCCACACATCTGCACTAACACATTCATATTGATCTATCTGATGCACTCCTGAATTATTGTGGAAATATTCTGGACTGACTGTAAGCTCCTGGGTGGTCATGTTGTACAGCTGCGTAACATTTTCTGTTGTGATGGAAACCATTTCTGTGAAGAGAAAAATAGGTGACATGAGATTGCCAGATCTAGCTCTTTGCTGCAAAAGACACAATAAGAAAAGCTGTCTTTTGCTTTTCCTAATGTCCTTGAAGCATAGCTTTTGAACAGGCTTACAGCTCCCTGGATTGCTTCTCATAGACACTGGGTGTGTCTGTGGAATGTTTTACAGACTGCATTGTTATGGACTGCCTGGATCAATTTTAGGCACGTAAAACAGAAGGGATGTAGCAACAACAGATATTGTTATGAATGGGTTAACTGAAGAGAACATTTAGAAGCCTTTATTCTCTAGAACTGAGCTGCATCAAGTCTTTTTTAATTCTTTGAGGATGTTCATCATTAGTTTGTCTTCCTATCTTTTTTATTTCATTAGCCATGGTCTCCTAAAGTACAAATGTACCTTGTGTCTCAGGTTGCTCATGGTAAAGCTGCTAATTCTGCGTCACATCCTGCAACATTTTACACCTGTCCCTGTAGAGCAAGAATTGAGTGGAATTCAGTGGTGCTTCCTCCCCAGGGAATACCATATATTTTCCCAAATGTTCTACTGTACAATAAACACGCACTTAATTTGCAGCTCTAGTTTGCATTGAGAATGCTGAGGGATCAGTGTTTGCCAGCAGTGTGCCTTTCTCAGCTTCTCACTGAAATTGTCTGTCTCTGTGTTACAGTCTCTTTCTGCAGCCAAGTCTCTGTAGAGATAAATGGTACAACCTTCATGAGGAAGATCAGTTTTAGGAAGTGCACAGTGGATGGGTTTGGCAATCTGATAGAGACAGTGGCCATCCTCTAAGCCAGGACCTGTCTGCAGTCAGCCAGAGCACAGTCTGAAAATCAGAACACTGTAAACATTCTGCAGATCAGAACAGCCTGGGATCACACAGGGAGCTATTTACAGGCAGAAATGTCAGATGTGTACTTAAATGTTACTAGAACCAAACAGAAGTTGAGTGTGCAGCATCTTGACCAATGAGAAAATGTTAACTGTATTTTCTTGTTGTTGTGTTCTTGGATAATGAATATTGAGATATTATTCAAATGCAATATTGGTTTCCCAGATCTGTATACATAATTGTCTGGACTGAGTGACAGAAGTACTGTTTGTCTTTTTTCAGGTCTTTATAATAACCACTGTTTATATTATCATTTGATTGGAAGATTTTCAAATGCATTTTTAATTAAGACATTTGTCTTATTCAACTGGTAACTTGGCAGTGAAAAGGGACACACTTGGCAATTCCTGAAAGGATGAGAGTTCTCACTTGTTTTCTGGTTGCTGGTATTGTTGGCTTGTAAGTATCAGTGCTTAATATACAAACAGAAATTTGGCTATTTGTTGCAAAATTGATGAAAAATTATTGCCATATTTTGTGTACTTTGTGTTAATAAAACACTAGCGCTTTAACATCTCAAAGCCCAGCTTGTGTGGATGTAAGAGCTCTCACTAACAAATTGCAAACAGCAGTTTCAAGTCTCCCTTTCTTTCTGTGCTGGCACTTTTCACTGTAAAAACACATAGGAAGTGAAATACTAATGGATGGTCAACAAGATGTCATCTGAGAATAGAGAAGTTTTGTTTCCTGATGCAATTATCAGAAACTGTTTCTTCTGCTGGTAGTAGGCTGTAAACCAGCAGGAAAAAAAGAGTGCATTATTTTACACTTTGAGGTTGGATGTATGCACATTTTTAATAAGATGAGCATTAGTAATTCAGAGAGTGTGCACAAAAGTTGTGTTGGCTTTTCCTAGGATTTTCCCTCATTACATTAATTTATAGAATTTAATTTACAGCAAATAGCAGCTCCAAAACTGCATATTGATTTATCCATATTTTCTCTACAATAATCTCTTTCAGATTTTGGTTTTAGAAGAGAAAGGCCTAGAATACTTTAAAATAAGTTAGTTATATCATATTACTGTGGTCAAGGAAGAGTGTGAAGGGACTAGTTAGGATGTCACCAAGTCCATGATATGGGGCTTCTGGCAACCTGGCTCCTTGGTCCTTAGCTCAAGTCCTTCTATAATGCAATGCTAGAAAGGGGGGAGTGAACAAGGAAAAATGTGCTAATTATCAGTTTACAAGCCCTAATGTTTAGGGTTAAAATGATGTGCTTGATGCTATTCTATATTGCACAGGAGACTCATTTAAAGTATGTGATTGCTGAATAAATTATGATGGACAAAGCCACAGCTTACAGAAGGCAGTGATTTGCTGTTTTCTTGTCATATTTTGGTGAAAATAAATGTGATCCTTTCACACATTCTCTACAAATACTTTTTGTTCAATACAAGACAAGCCTCATATCTCAGCAGGGACTTTCAATAAGATTTCATGTGGCAGTGTTGATTGAAAAACTGCCCAGCTGAAGTAATCCATCATTAGTGATTCTGAGGGACCTCTAAATTTGAACCAGATGGAGTTCACGTCCTGTCCTGTTGTGAGTTACCTCCTCCTTGGCAGTCTATAAAACCCACTGTCAGTCATGTTGTTCTGTTGTTCTCATGCTGTTCTCGTGTTGTTCTGGAGTATTTTTTTTACTAGCCTTGAGAACAAACAACAAGAGTTTGATGGAGGATGTTTCAGGGCACCCTGTGTGGGAGGGAGGCAGTCATGGACTGGAAGTGCTGGTGGCAACCAGCCCTGTGCCTCTTGCAGTCACGGCCCTCACCAAGGCAGGAGGGCTCTGGGGCTGGCCCATGGAGTTCTCAGGCTATTGGCAAGATCCTGCCAATGCTGTGAGTACAATTCCTTGCAGAAGAACTGGGGAGAAGGGGTTGATCAACTGTTGGATTGTCATTACAGGCAGGTGGATAAGGACTCCGAAAACATCGTGGTCACCAGTGCCATAGCCTGAAACTCTGAGGCTGGGCGGTCACCAGGGCACCTTGGGGTCTCCTGCCAAACTGTTGGGATGTCCTGCTGCTCAAGGACTGACCCACACAGACAGCACTGGAGGAAGCATGCCAGAAGACAGGCATGGGTTAATCAGCAAGCCAAGGATAGCACCTAGAGTGCAGCTGAGTGGTTAATTCTGGAATGTGGAGGGAAAATCTCCATGTTACAGCAATATGTGCTGGGGCCTACGGAAGTTCTTGAAAGAAAAGGATGGGGATATTGAATTGGAACAAAATGTCCTCTTAGGATCAAGAGATATGAGCTAAATGGAAGGATAGGGGGAAAAAAGGTCAGAGCTCAGTTAATGCTGCTACTGGGTTAATGCAAGCTCTGGCACAGCTTTAGTCCCCAGATAGGATATGCTGCTTCAGGTGAATGATTTTCACCATCTCTTTTGGGTCTGGATGAAGCCCTACAGCTACTGAACTCATGACTATTAGCATTGCCAGTGGTGTTAATCTTTCCTTGTATTGTGCTAAACGTTTTCATACAGTGAATAACTAAATGTCTCATGATAGTCTTAGCCATGTGTTATACAAGGACAAGTTCTGAAATGAGTGAAGGTTATTTCGATGTCACTTGCACTAATCTACTCTGTGGGAGTAAGAGAGAGGCTTTGTAATGTATTTTACAGCTGTTGTGACTTTGCTGATTATATGTTTTGCAGAAACAAGGTGTGAAATTTGTAATTAGTATATTCTGAGATTGTTGTAATATGAATCTTGCTAATTTAGTCCTCAGAGAGAAGAGGTGGAGCCTGAAACAGATAAATGCTGTTATGATGTTAACTGCTATAATGTTGCTTGCTGGAACAAAAGACAGAATATTAAACAGCATAGGTACACAGTGTAGGATGTTTTCCTACACAGTCTAATTTGCAAGGACAAAGGACAGAGTGACTCAAGGCCTCACTAGTCTTCTCCAAATGAGGAATTTCTCTGATGGATGAACACCCATTATGAAAATTGCCTCGAATGCAGCCTTTTTTTTCATTTATTTCAGGCATTTCTTAGCAAGGCTGTGTGAAGGATAGGTATGACACCCAGACTGTAACATCCTTAGCAGAATTTTACAATTACCTGGTTTGCTTTAAGTGCTGTCAGTAGCCAAAAGTGTTTTCAGAGACAAACAGCTGGCTTGCCACACATACATAGAACTCCAGGTACAGCTGGGGGTCAGTGGCACAGAGGAGAGGAAAAGCTGGGAGCAAAAATATGGATTTGAATGAGTGGCTGCAAACTGAAAGGCACTGGCTGACTTCTGGCATGCTCATATTTTAGAAGATACGTTAGCTGCAGAAAGAAATAGCAGGGGCAGCCCCAGCCTCTCCTCTGGCTCCCTGTTTCTCTGCAGATCCCAGCCTGCTTGGATGCTGTAATTTTTGTGTGAGTTTGTCCTCCTGAACACCTCTGAGCCCAGCTTGGGCAGCCAAGTGTCCCCTGGTGGTGCCTATTTGCCAGGCAGCCTTTCTTCTTCACGCTAATATAAAAGCTACAGGGTCAATGTAACACAGGAGCTGCCAGAGCCATGAGAGGAAAAAGGGTATTTGCCTGAGAGATCAGCTGTGACTGAAATGGGAAATAGCAGGAATTCAAAGCTGCTGTAGGTAAGGGAGTCCTCTGCAGTGTAGTCTGGAAGTCCTGCAGGTCCATGCAAGTACCACTGCTGTCCTCAGGAGCTTGGAGTGTAAACCTGATAGACTCAGCGTGTTGCCAGGAGGCTGTAGTGGTGTCCTCTAAACTGCCTCATTTGTCACCATCAGACAGGTATTTGCTGGTCAAGGACAGAGAGAAAGTTTAATTGTAACAGCTTTGGAGGATTTGCTTCCAGGACAATGTCTATTTGTGAGGAAAAGGAGATTTTTGTTTTGAAGCACATGTGATGGGATGGCATAGGCAGAGGCATTGCTCAGCAACAAGCCCAAGGTGTGCTGGAAGATTGAGCTTCAGTGGTGGAATCATACATTCAGAAGTTAGTATCAACAAAAATACAGGCAACCCAGCCTGTTTATAAATTCTATACCTTCTCCATAAGGTTTATTTTCAAAGCTTCAATTTCAACTTGGTCTCCTTGCAACCTTTCTCCTGAAAAAAATTACTTTTGTCATCTATCCCCAGTTCACAGAAACTCTTGTTTCAACCTAATCCAAGTCCACTGGGACTGCTCATACCCCTCTCTTTGGCTTCAGAATGGGTTGGCTTTGTGTCTTTAGCTGGAAGAATATTGGAAGGTAAAATTATATCACTCTTGTACCATCTCTGAAACATGTTTTGAAACATTCTCTGAATGTCCTTTTAATTGTGTTACTGTGGAGGCATTACTTATTTTGGAGAGGTAGAGGAAGTGTGGGAAACATTCCTAAAATGTTCGGCTTTCACAGATCCCACAACATTAATTTTTAATTTCCAATGTTTGTATAATGAATCTCTAATGGGCTTTACAACATTTGGGGTTGTAGATCAGGGGAAGCTTTCTGTGGCAGTGTTAACTTAAAGGTTTCCTGCTTTTCATTTACTCTTCACTGTCCCTTTTTCTTTATGGCTGCCCTTGTAGTTCATGAAGCTTCATGTTGAACCAGATTCAGGAACTTGCCTGGGACAAAAATAACCTTGTAAAAGAAAAAAATTATTTTTCAGCTCTGTAGTTTGCCAGAAAATTAAGGCAGCAAAGAAAATATATGGAGGAGCTACCTCTCAAAAGTGCAATTTTTAGATAATTGTTGTGTAAGCTTGAAGCACACCATGGAAAGAAACTATTGCTCTGCAGTTACCATTAAAGGTATCTACATCAACTGTGTTAGGAAAGATGGGGGAAAAAAGTTGTTCTGTTAAAGCAGTTATTTCAATAACAATGAAACTAAGGTGCGAAGAGGCCACCAATTTTTCTCCCTGTGTGGGAGATGAAGCCACTCAATTCCAGCTAAAGAAAGATATAGAAAGAGCAGAAATCTAGATAAGTGCAATGCATAATATATTTTTAATATATAAATTTTATGCAAAGCACTTTGCATAATGTATTTTTTTTCCCAAGTGGAAATTTTGAATATTCTTACTTTAAATTTTCCAGAGTTACAACTGCCTAAAAAAGAATCCTACTTTTTAGCTTTTGAAATCTGACATGTTATTTTTCAATGCTCTTTATACAAGCCAGTCAATAACTGTGATGACTCTGACAAAAGGTATTATTTATCCCAGTGTAAAGTAGTTATAACTGAAATAGAGACGAACAGCATGGCTGGACTGTGGTGAGAACAGGAAGGAGAAGGAGAATATGAACCAGTTCAGAGAGAAGTACTGTCCTGATCACAGGAACTTGGTATAAAGGGAAGGGCTCATCTCACTATAAAGTGTTGGTTTAGTTCAGATTTGGTGATGATGATGATGTTTGAGTTAGTCCATGTTTGACCTTTGGCTTGCTGCCATCAATATTTTAGAAATTTTTCAATTAAGATGACCTCCAAAATATTGCAAATGTCACCAATGCTGGATTTTGCTGTCGTTCTTAAAGAGCAGATTTATTATAAGAATTCTATTTAATCTGAAGCGAGAAATAATACTTTCAACATTAGAGGCTATTTCAGGTCAAAACAGAATCTGCAAGTATCTCCAGCCATTAAATCATTAAATTTCAGCCTTGTAATCCTCAGAAGTTTCAAAAACCCAGCTGGAAAAGCCCAGAATAGCATAGATTGATTTTGTAGCTGACTGAGCTTTGAGTAAGAGGTTGGCCTACAGACCTTCCAACCCACATTATCCTAAAATCCTTAATTTGCACTTCTTGCGCTAATAAAGGAAAATTCCAGTTGGATTAAGGCCAACAACAAAGTCATAGAATCATAGAATGTCTTGGATTGTAAGGGGCCTTAAACATCATCCAATTCCACTCCCCCTGCCATGAGCAGCTCTGATCACCCATCACTCCCATTGTAATATTTATAAATGCCATGTGCTATTGTAATAAGTAAGCAGTAATTTTCCTAAGATTACTTTACAAAAGTGAGTGTCTCCTGTGCAAATTTCTCAGCGAGGCTGTTACAAGGCTGCATGGGCACACCCAGCCAGCGGTGAGCATAAGGACTAGATGGAGCACTCTTGCCATAAAGGTTTAGGTGCAGTT